CCCTTTCTTATATCTGCGTCTTGCCGTACGGTATACACTCTCGTCTCAAAGACTGTTCTCGCCCCCTCTCGTCTATAATGAATGCAAATTAGGCGCTTCGATTTCAAATATGTGTTGGTCGTGGCCACGAAGATAATGATTAGCCGACTTCATAACCATTTCCGATATCCACTGGTATGCCACCTCACTTCCTTAGATCTGTTTCTCGAATTCTATTCCTCTCGAAAACGATCCAAACTTGCTAGCATTTTCAACGATTTTCCGCTGGCACTCACTTGCTCAATCACGGGAACGTGCTTTCAAGAGTAGTGATCACGATGGCTGGAGGGCGGTGCGGTTTTAGTGACGTCTTTGAACGTCACTGGTGAACTAGGTTGACTTCTGCGTAGGTCTATTAATATGCAGTGGTAGGTGACACTATGACTAGCCCAGGAGAGGGGAGATACGTCAGGGGAAACACAAATTCTTCACATCTTCACCCAAAATCCCCTTACTGACTTCCAAGTTCTCCCTCCCCCTCGCCCCTAAATGATATGAGCGCCAAATTTGGTTTATGTTTTGATACGCCTTTCAGAACAGACAGTATAACCAACTTACATGTCGCATTAATAAGAGCGTCCATGATTTGGGCATAAAATCTACAAATGAACCTCTCTTTTGAATGCACCTAATCAGTATCATTTGGAACTCCGCTGAGTAAACATCAACATTCATCAACCACAACTTTCAGAATAATATTTCACTTTTGATACGCCAAACAGGTGGTTCGGTCAGGGTGGGTAAGATGGTCGATGCTGACAAACCCTATTGCAGTGCGTCCTGCACTCGTTCATGTGAAAATTGCAAAGGTGCATGTATACGTACTCTTAAGTTAGCCACAGCTGCAATGGTGTAACTTTGCCAGCAAATTATCGATGAATGGCTCCCTGGAGCTGGGCGACGTTTGTTCCATAGATAGTGCATAGCGGCACTGACACCTTCTGTCTCTGGCCCACCTTCGCTTACGGCTCTTTTGGTGAGAAAAATTCTTGGGCAGGGCACCGACCATACAAGTTTCAGTAGGTCCATTCAGCCCATGGGATCAAATCTTGACTAGGGCCAAAACCACGAAGTAGTGAAATTCAAAGTTACCATGGCCTTAAAGAGTGGAGGGGGGGGTGACATTCAGAACAGAGCATTTATAAAACGCTGGTAGGTGACGCTAGGATTAAGCTCAGGAGACGCGCCAGAGACAATAAAAGGTTGCTCACCTTCTTCCCCTTCTCAAAGTATGATCTAAAGTTCTGTAATTGGCTCACTCATTTCAATGTCCCCCTTAACGACATGAGCACCAAATCCTGTTATCTGAATTGTACATCAGTTCACCTCCACGACAGCATAAACGTTTGTCTCATTGAATGCTAAACGAGGCATGCTCTCAGACGACTTCAGTATCCTGAACGGCAGCCACATGCATGGTGGATCAATTCCATATATTTCACCTAGTTCATTGTAATTTCAGGTTTAAAATACCTTGTATTGAAGGAGAGTAAACAATAGGATGAGGTGACACAACAAAACGATGACTAGTGGATGCACTTCGGTGAATCACGTCCGAATCACTCCATAGAAAGTCAACAAAAATGCTGGAAGAGGCATCATACCGTTGAGACCGGTTTATGGTGTCCGTCGGACTTCCGTTATAGTTAGAGCAGCATTTAAACTCAGCGCCTTGCGATTAGAAGAATCAGAAAATTTACTAGAATTATTAAACACGTATCAATTACCCCGAAAAGGAAACACGTCTCTTGGATGACAGGATAGAAAGAAATACAGCACAGAAATACAATAAAATACAGAAAGAAAGACACAAGGCAGCCGAGTTGAACATTACACATATCAATTCTTCTGTGAGTTCTCTGATTCTCCAATTCTCCGATTCTTCTGAGCAATACGTATCTTTTCCTTTTCACTAAGTTCCCGAATATTAAAAAGCTGTGCGCGAATACACATAACAAAGCGGTGATATTTCTGAGGATATCTACGACTTGAAATGTTCTAGCACCTTGACAGAAGAAGCGCAGAAATCGCTACGTGGTAGCGTAGAACGAGGATTAGAGGCTTTTCCCCGTTTTCGTCACCTGATTATTTTCGCTCTGAATCTTCAAAAACTGATTTAAGTTACTGAAGGGTATCTACTATAGATCTGGATTGCTCGCTTTTCATGATCTCGTTTTACAGTCGAGGACTGATTGTTTCATAGCAAATCTTGAAGCTCACTGATTGCGATCTTTCGTAATGAGGTCTTTTCTCTTCCACGGTACTTCTTTGTTTTTCTCACAGCTGTCTCCACTGCACAGCTAGAAGAAAGACTCCTGCATTTTTAGTGTTCTTGACGGATTCCTTAATACCTCTCTTAACTGATGGTTCCAGCGCTCATATTTCCGTACTCGAGCGGAATCGTCACATCAACACGCCTGACGTGTACCTTCGAGAGTGTCATCAACCTTACACTGGATATCGCTTTATACATACAAGGCTTATTTATTAACTTAGCTTTGCATTCCACAAAGCTGAAATAGGGCAGTGGCTGAACTGAGCACATCCTACCGACGGAGTCAATATGAGTAGGTTCAAAAACATTTTCCGAGGGGTTTGGCCAGCGATGAGAATTTGATCTAATATTTCTTTTGTTTACATGGCTTTCCAAAATCTTCTGAAACACTAGGATTAATCTCGTGATGGGATTATGAGTAACGGTTTCAGATGAGATCATCACACTTGTTGAGCGAGGGATTCAAAAGATGACTAGCTGCTCTCTTCAACAGCTTCCTCGTTCCGTACATATTGTCCTCTTCATACCCATTAAGTGCATGAATGCGTGTGAAACGGATGGCAATGTCCAGTTTTTCGGACCGTGAAGCGTTTTCGGAGCCGCTATCAGTGTTTACACTTGATAGCACTCCTCTTGTGGGAGTGCGCGCTGAATACACCACCTGATTCAGACCAACCGGAGTTCCAAGCGTGGTGTTTGTAGACGAAATGTGATCGTGAGATCAGTGCCGGGCTATATAAACTATCAGCATGCGACTTCTGACCACTTCCGCGACAATTCCTTCCGGCTAGTGAACTTTCCTTTTTTTGTCAGCGATCAGGTCGGTTGTTCGAGCCACACTTGGTCAGCTGCTGCTGTCCAACTCCACGAGGATTATCCAGCCGGCCTTTCACCAGGCACTACTATTGGTACCACGTCTTTTGAATAGCGAACACATTAGAACATCGGCAAAATTCTGTAAAACAGCCACTATTTCAATTGATGTGCCAATGTAGAAGAAATGAAAAAATAAAATAAAAATAGAAAAAATACAATCTAAGCTTCCGATTGAAGGAACTGCGAGTTTTGAATTTTAGGAGAGTAACCCCAGACGTTCTTCCTTTTATTAAGAACTTCGAAAAAGGAATGAAGGGCATCTCCTCCACCTTTGTTCTTGGCATAGCCGATCAAAAGTTCGAGCTTGATTCATAAGGCACGAATTGCCTCATAATGTTAGAAAACTTGCACCTCAACATCGAGGAGCATTCCACGACTCCTCAGGGAGGAGCTCAAGTCGTTATGGCCATATTCAATTGAAATATAGTCTGTTATGTACCTGGAACGCTGACCTCGAATCTGCCTTCCAACCCTGTCAACCGGATTTTCAAAAGCCTATGAAGCAAAATAGTGCAGCGGCAGTGCCCGGCTTCACAGGCAAGAGGTTATGGGATGGATCCCCTGGCGTGTTTGTTGCCTTCTCTCTTCACTAACAATACTAAGAGCATTTGTTTTTGATTGTTAACTGCTATTTTTGACCGCAGTTCGCCTTGCGAATGTTTCACAACCCAGCATTCTTGTGAAACTAAGCACTGCTTTTCACATTACGTCACTAACGACTGCTTATTTTTGCATATGTACTGTAGTTTTGTGTAGTCCCTCACAAGCCTGAATATTATTTGATTCAGATAGGTGAGTTTTAGCCCCAGTTGCAAGATC